ACATAGGAAATAAGCTAATATCGTTTTATTTGACCAAGATTTAGCTATTAGCTTGTGATGGTTGAATAAAACATGCCTAATATTAACCCTCCGCCATCGGAATATGATTATGAGGATCGAATTGCGTTAATTGGTACCCCTTCCGACAACTTGGGATGCAAGTGTACGATATATCCCAGTGTTAGCTCCGTGGTCGAAAATTTATAGCCGCACCATATGTTGACAAGTTTTAATATATATATATATATTTTTTTTTATTTAATTTTACTTTTTTTTTTTAATAAACATATAGTCCATTCTTTAACAAAACGCTTGTAAATCCAAGTTCCGATTTTGTGTAATATTAAAAAAAATATTCAACAAAAATTTCAACCTTTCTAATTAGATTTCATAGAAAGAATTCGAGTAGATATACAGTTTTGTAGTGCATTGAATTCTAGTAGAATAAAGTAGAGCTCAAAATGACCTTTAATTTTTTCGATTTTTTTTTTTGTCGAATACGTTACGGGTTTCTTCTACATAAAAGTACTATATTGTGTTGGGACAAACAAAATTCAAAAAAATTAATTGTAATTTTCAGCCATTTCAAACATGCACTTTATTCTACTAGAATTCAAAGGACTAGAAACCTCGAAATTTTTAAGAAAATTTGTTAATTTTTTTTTTAAATTGTACAAAATTTTAAACATGGATTTATACGGGTTTTATTAAAGAATGAACCATATTTTTATAAACAAATTACAAAAATTAAATAACAAAAAAAAAAAAATGGTGAATACTTGTCAATATGTGGTGCGGTTATAATTTTTTTCGACCACTGTATATCATGAATATTTTGTACATTGAGCCACACGCGCCGAATGCCACGCCGATGTTTGCATGACTCGGCGGTGTAAACCTGTAATACCCACTCACACACTTTCCTTATCCGATCGTCCAATATGTTTCCATGAATTTTATCGATGATGACGACCTCTTTAGGACGTCCTGAACCTTCGGAGTCACTTTTTAACCATTGAAATAGATGGTGCATAATCCTCATAATATGGTTTCGGTAATGGATTTTTCACGCAAAAAATACTACTTAATCAGCAATTTTCGCTAAAATTCACGTGGTTGTCTGCCTTCAATGGCTGTCAAACACAAACTAAATACCACAGCTTGCTAAAAATTTTACAGTAGTCTATTGAATTGGTTTATTATCAAAGGGAATAAGTCGGCATTTTTCCGGTATGGAAAGCTTGATGCAGTTCAACAGAGCTCCTATAAACGAACCGAACTGCATCAAAATTGTCCTATCGAAAAAATTCCGACATATTACCTTTCGCAATTAACCGATTCATTTAAGGTTACTGAGCGGGATATTCAAAAAGTCGCTTTTAAAATTTACCTCGTAATGAAAACCTCACTTCTTTAGTCGCCAAAGTAGTTTTGTATTTTTGCCGCCAGGTTACAATCGTTTTCCCACCCATTATGGCTTGCAATATCTTACCAAATGACGCAAAAAGCGCCAAGATTTTTTCCACGTCCATCTCCAAACAAATTTTCCTACCTTTAAAAAAATCCAATGTAGACCGTATATCAACCACCCCTAACCCCCTTCTAAGTAAAATTCTGCATACGCCAGTGTTTGAAAAGCGCCTTCATTGCCGCAACACAGCATTAAAACCTCATTTAATGACAAATAAAACCGCTAATCACGATTTTTCCACACATGCTTTTGTACAGCCGCATAGAAATTGCAAGCAACACAGCAAACGCCATAGCTAAATGCACGTTAAAAGGCAGCAACCAGCAACCAGCAAAAACAACAACACACACACAAATCTACACAAACATAACTACAATGGCTACCCGTGGCAGCCGCAGCAGCAATTACTAAAGAGCAACAGCGCATTGGCAAAATGAAATAATGAAAATGAAACGAGTAACAAAAATAATAAAGGAATTGCTATAGTTCCAGCAGCTATAGAGCGCACACGCTCACACATCTACATATGTACATATGTAGGTCTGCCTGCTGGCGCTTTGCAACTGGTTCCACGTAAAGTCAAAGCGCCTATAAGCCCGCCGCTGCTGCTGCGGCATTTGCACCATGCCAACAGCAAAGCGCACGGGGCATCAGCAAAGCGGGCCAACTTTGTGCCCCAATCACGCTGCCCGCAAGCATGCAGCCAATGCCACTGGCACTGCCACTGCCACTGTGGTTGAGTTTCAGATTTTTTTCTTGCAATTCTTTTTCTACTGCTCCTTTTTTCTTGCTGCAACAGTTTTTTACATGTTTTCTATTGCCTGCTGTTTTGCTTGTCGCTTGTGTTGTTGTT